GATTCTTCAATTGAACCAAAACAACTTTCTCCAAGATTTTTGATAAAAAGGGAAGGTTGGAGACAGGTCTGAAATTCTTGAGAAACATGTTTTTAAATGAACATAAAAGGTGTTAAGACCCCCCCAAAAAATCTATAAAAATTGCTAAACCGGGGGAAGAAAATGCCGGTTTCTTTGATTCCATTATTTTCACGGGCGCCTGATTTTACCACGATGCCTCACAAATGTTATAACCATAAAAGGAAAACAAAACAAAAGCACTCGAGGGTTAACTTACCAGAAGCCGAGATGGGTAGCATGCCAGCGAAGATCGCTATGTACCCGGAGTATCCTATATCATCGTACAGAACGCCTGAGCCTATGTCGAGGAAAACCCCGACGGCGATACAGATCAGGACTCCTGTGGGGTGGGAGGGGGGGAGTAGGTAAGTGTTTTAAGGCGCTCGCAACTGCATAAGGTCATATTATAATTATATATGAGCGCGCAGGACACACCAAACATTTTCAATTGCTAGAAATTTTGAATTTTGCCCGGGTGGCGGCCGAAGCCTAGTCTTATCGATTTTAGAACCTCCAAGGGATCTTTAACATGCGCAACTTGCACACGGGACATCCGAGATTTTTCACCCTTGTCCGAGAAGGCTAGGTGCAGATATTTCCTACCAGAAGATCAGGGGTGTGGCTGAAAGAAAACAGTAAGAAGGAGCCAAGGAGTAGCAGTAGAAAGGCTGCAGAGAAAGAGTCAGGAGCCCAGTGGAGGGGGCAAAGACCGTGAGGGGGTGGGGCAAAAAGTCTAGACAAAAGCAGACGGCAGAATATTGCAAGAGAGAAGGAAAGAAGGTGAAAGGAGACAATCTTAGAGAAGAATTGTTTTCGGTCACTACCCGGATTTGAACCCGGGACCTTTGAATAAGAGGCGAACACCTTAACCTCTAGGCCACGATAGGCCTGTGGGACAGAAAAAATGGTGAACTGATATAAGGCTTAACGCCCCTGTCAACACTGTTAGGTTATTTAAGAGGCGGGACCTCTGAGTTTAACTTCCATCTCCGAAAGGACCGAACAAAGTGGGAAATTCGTGCAAAGTGCCTTTCCCAAGGACGCAACGTCGGGTCGAGCTAACGCTCGAACCCCCGACCCGCAATTTCACGATTACGACTCCGCCTGCCTAACCACAAGGCCACCGACGCCAGGAAGAGAGAATCAATCTTGGTGTGGAAGAGGAAAGGGAAGTACAAAAGGGAAAGAAAGTACAAGAGGAAAGGAAAGAACAATGAGGAAGGAAAATACAAGAGGGAAAGAAAGTACAAGAGGAAAGGAAAGAACAATGAGGAAGGAAAATACAAGAGGGAAAGAAAGTACAGGAGGAAAGATAAGTACAAGAGGTAAGGAAAGTGCAAAAGAGAAAGAAAGTACAAGAGGTAAGGAAAGTGCAAAAGAGAAAGAAAGTACAAGAGGTAAGGAAAGTACTCTCCGTCCAAGAAGAAAAGAAAGAATTGATGAAAGTGGAAAAGAAAACAATAATTGAGTAAAAGAAAGATAACGATTTTAAGTAAAAAGGAAAATACAAAATTTGTGTAAAAAAAAGAAAGAATCTATCGATCTATCTTGCTCTGTCTCATCCTTTTCAATACTCTCTCTCTCTCTCTCTCTCTCTCTCTCTCTCTCTCTCTCTCTCTCTCTCTCTCTCTCTCTCTCTCTCTCTCTCTCTCTTTTTTTTTTTTCTCTCTCTCTTTCTTTCTCCCTCTCTCCCTCTCTTTCTCTCCCTAGCTCTTTCTCACTCTGTGTGTGTGTGTGTGTGTGTGTGTGTGTGTGCGTGCGTGTATACGTGTGTATGTGCGTGTGTGTGTGTGTGTGTGTGTGTGTGTGTGTGTGTGTGTGTGTGTGTGTGTGTGTGTGTGTGTGTGTGTGTAATATTATGATATATCTCTATCCATCTCACTCATCCCTTCTCCCCATGCCTCATTTGCATTTTCTCTCTTCTCTTTCTCTTTCTCTCCCCTTTGTCTTTTCTCTCTCTCTCTCTCTCTCTCTATCTCTCTCTCTCTCTCTCTCTCTCTCTTTCTCTCTCTCTCTCTCTCTCTCTCTCTCTCTCTCTCTCTCTCTCTCTCTCTTTCTCCCCTTGTCTTACCTGCTAAAAATGTTAAAAACGGGATCAACAACAACAAGGGCCCCTTTAGCTTCCACTGCAGGTAAATGTTAAAAAGAAAGGCGATAGAAAGTGCCCCTAGTCCAATGCACATCAGGCTGATCGTTGCGTAGACAAAACCTGGGGACAAATTGACGAGATTGATTCCCTTTTGCGTGCGGAACGTCAAAGAAATTACAAAATACAATAAGTTATCATATTTATCCTCGTGCGGAAATTTGGGTTAAAATGGCAGGCATACATACATGCATAAACACATAATCAAACACTCATAAAAATATACAAAGAATATCAGCACACAATATTACTTTTTTTTTCAGCAGCCTCGACAGCAATGCAAAACATCACAACCGCCAGATATTGCTGCATCCATTATACTATTGTTATCGCAGATAAGTTATTTATGTTCTAAGTTCATGGTAAAATGGTATAGGTTTAACGCCCGTTTCATCACTATTAGGATCGTATAAAGAGGCGTTACTTCCGAGTTTGATGTCCTTTAAAAAAAGACTGAGCCAAATGGGAAATTCACGTAAAGTTCGTTTCCCAAGGACACGAAGTCGGACCGAGCTGAGGTTCGAACCTCCGAATCCGCAATCTCACGATTACGAGTTCGGCAAATCGCACCCTAACCACTAGACCACCGGGGCCATAATCTCACGATTACGAGTCCCGGTAGCCCCCAAATCTAGGCTACCGACGCCACGTACTGTTCTAAGCTAAGAAAGCAGTCGTTTCAGTACAGAGAGAGAGAGAAAAGAAATGTTTCATTCTTTCATCAATTAAAAAAATTTGACAGAACCATTAAGAAAGCCAGCAAGATCTCTGGATATTTTTTATAAGAATGGATGAAATGTATAACACCACACGTATAAAAAAGATAAAAAGCATTATAAACGACCCATCACACCCCTTCTCCACGCAAATTGTAAGATTACGCAGCGGCAGATATATACCTCAAAAAACAAAGAAAGAAAGATACAAAAGAACTTTTTTACCATTTAGCATAAGGCTTTAGTCAGAATGAGCATAGATGGGTGTTGCTCTTAGAGTATGTATCTGTATATAACTCCAAAGGTCTAGTATTTCAATTCCTGCATGTGGTTGAATGATGCATTTGATGTAAATGTACATTTTGTCAGCTTTACTTCTCCTTTCATATTGAATTCTAATGAGAGTAATATATATGATTTAATTTTTTTAAATGTATACCTGCATGTGTTGTACGGTCCTATACTGCCAAGGAAAATTTTCCTCTGGGATAATAAAGTACTATCTTATCTTATCTTATCTTATCTTTATCGACTTTATGAAGCTTTCCTTGCCTTCTTCAACATAATTTAGAAGTTAAATATTGACACAAAATACTTCTTGAAAACGTGCAACGGATACCACAGATCAAAAAGCTGTTATTGGGGGGAAAAAAAACAACACCCCACATAATATTATGTTGGGCTTTGGACATGTGAACAGATGACTGACGATATGTCAGGCATCGTGGTGAAATCAGGCGCTCGTCAAAATAATGAAATCGAAGAAACTGGCAATTTTCAGTCAGTTTGTCAATTTTTATCGAATTTTGGTTTTTGACTCAACACTTTTAAGTTCCATTTAAAAACACATTTCTTTGTGGATTTTACTGAAAATGTTGGTTTAAGGCACAACAATGTAAATTTGCAGTTTCTAAGGACTCTCAAGCTTTGGAAGTCCCCAGACTGTGGCGGCCATTTTCTCGCTAATTAATTTTACATCTGAAATCAGACGACCCCACTCCTTAAAATTGCAAACATCTCGACTTCTATTCATGACAGATGAGTATTTTTTTCCCCGAAAGCAAGACAAATAAGCAAGCTGCATAATGATCTCAATAACTCCACCTGTCCTGAAAATTTGAAAAGCGCCTGATTCCACTGCGTCGTAACACGTCAATGGTCTGTGCCTGGGAATAGGTCCCAGTTGCCAGAAGTGTTGGGTATTAAAATAAGAAGCAAATTCAATGTTGTTGCTTTTTTTTAATTTCTCAAATATCTTGAGTAGTTTTTAAATTAAATATTATTATGCCACATTTTGTAACACAGTTTAGTTTAGTATGGGGTTTTACGGCGCTCACAACTGCATAAGGTCATATGAGCGCGCGTTGTAACACAGTGTGCAAAAAACAACGTTTGGAGAAAAACGGCTTTATTCTTAGTATGTTGACCCAATTTCTAGAACTAGAACAATTTTTTTGTCCTTGGTGAAGTACAACATATTGCAAAAATAATGAGCAAAAAAAAAAATATTGAGACTTAAAATAGATCTATTTTGAAATCCTTTCAATAATATGTTATTAAGAAATGATGCTACGTGTGTTGTCTGATGGAACTAAATTTTTGGCCAGGTACGAGTTTTTTGGCCTTTCCACACCGTTGCTCCAAAATAGCTTTGCCAAAAAAATGGGACCTTTCTCCAGGTACACATACACATGCACACACACATACATACACACGTGCGCACACATACACACACATATATTTATACACACATACACACACATACACATACACACATACACACACATACACACACGCATACACACATACCTACACACACACATACACAACATACACACACATACACACACGAATACACATACACACACACGCATACACACACACACACACACACACACACACACACACACACACACACACACACACACACACACACACACATACTTAAGTGCAAAGCAGACAGATCTGCAATGTGTGCTTTGCTACAATGATTATAAAAAAAATATTTCATGAAAAAACAAGGTTGTCGGTTCTAATGTTATACTTCTTACTGCTGTCTTTCAGCCACATCCCTAATCTTAGGAAAGATCTACTCCTAGCCTCCTCGGACAAAGGCTAAAAATCTCGGAGGTCCCGGGTGCAAGTTGCGCACGTTAAAGATCCCTTGATTGTCCAACATCGACAAGAATAGACTTCGGCAGCCACCCAGACAAAATTCAAAATTTCCTACCAACTAAAAATGTTTAATGTGTCCTGCGCGCCAAATGTGACTTTATACTGTTGCGAGTGCCGTAAAACACTTCCCCCCGGCACCCCCCCCCAAAAAAGAAACAACTCCTGTCTGCCAGGGCCAAACTGAAATGGAGAGAGCCAAACAAACCACCTCCTCCCCCTACCCACACCTACCATTGTCAGGACTGTAGAAGTCGGCCGTGCTGACCACAGCTTTCTTAGTGGACGTCTCAAAGATTCCAATGAGGGCAGGGGAGATATGGGACCGCTCAATCCAGTGGTTCGTGACCATTGTGACGCAGACCAAGACTATCGCGATAAACTCTTTCAACAAGGTCAGTGTCTGGTAGACTCGGAAGGCAGGCATGGTCTGAAAACAAAACAAAAATGTAACGCATGGTGGTAAAAACATTTTTTTGCTTATCTCTTTTCCTTTTTTTCTTGTCATTTTTTTTTTCTCTCAGGATATCTTTTTTGGTAAGTGTTTTTCGGGGCTCGCAACCTAGTGGTTAGGCTCTCGGACTCGCAACCATAAGGTCGTGGGTTCGAATCCCGTCAGGGACCCGACGTTGTGTCCTTGGGAAAGGCACTTTACACGAATTTTCCTCACTTCACCCAGGTGGGAATGGGTACCCGGCTATAGATAGCGAAAGATCTTGTCAGTTTGTTAGTGTTTGAGCGCTTAATCGGCTGCTCGCACTGTATGCTTCCCGGGAAGCTGAGAATGTTTCGGAGTGTACTATGGTCTGCTGGGGTAATAATATAGTGTAAAGCGCATAGAGCCTGCTGTTGAGCGGGGATATGCGCTATACAAATGCTATCTATTATCTATTATTATTATTATTATATTAGCGCGCCGAACACATTAAACATTTTCAGTTGGAAGGAAATTTTGTATTTTGCCCGGGTGGCGGCCAAAGCCCACTTTTGTCGATTTTGGACCACCAAGAGATCTTTAACCAGCGCAACTTGCACATGGGACCTCCGAGATTGTTTTGCCCCTGTCCAAGAAAGCTAGGTATTAGATCTTACCTACCATAAGATCAGGGGTGTGGCTGAAAGACAGCAGTAGGAAGGAGCCAAGGAGTAGCAGTAGAAAGGCTGCAGAAAGAGTCAGGAGCCCAGAGGAGAGGGCAAAGGAGGTAAGGAGGTGGGGGCAGAAAGTGGAGACGAAAGCAGACGACAGAACATTTTCAGAGAGCAGGAAAGGATGTGAAAGGAGAAATTTCAGAGAAGAAAATGTTCCGACGTTATCCGGATTCGAAACCAGGCGAATGGGAGGCGAGCATTGTAACCTCTAGACCACGAGAGCTTTCCTGGTGAAAACAGGCGCTCTTCAAAATAATACAATAGTAGAAACAGGATTCTTTCTGGCCGTTGGGCAAATTTTGTCAAACTTTCTTACTTTTTGTTTTCTGGGGATTTTTTTTGTTTTGATTCAGCACATTTTATGTCCATTTAAAAACACGTCTTTGTGGATTTTACTGAAAACGTTGATTCAATGAATAAAAAATAAAAATTTTGAATTTTCCAAGATTTCTCAAGCTACGGAAGTCATCACACTTTGGCGGCCATTCCCTCGTCACTAATTTAACTTCAGACACGGCGGCCCCCACCTTCTTCAATAGCAATTATCTCGACACTTTCTTTCAAGATTACTGGGTCTTTTGCGCGAAAGCAAGACAAATTAGCAAGCTTTAAGACGATACTCATACCTCCATAATGATATGCCCAAAATTGATGAGTACCTGATTCCACCGCGTCAAACCACAAATAGGGTGAACTGGGTACACATAAATCTCGACCCATCAATTATGGGTGGTTGGTGGGAGCTCTAGTGGGGTTTAGCACCCCCTTTTGCTTTTGGTTTAGTAAGAGTTTTACGTCACTTGCCACCCAGTTCGTTCATATAAGTTCCGAAGATTACAGGTGTTACATGAGGGTAACAAACACAAAAAAGGATGGGCGGTGAGGACGACAGTTGTTTGATAGGAGGGAAGAAGAAAACCACACCAGGGCAACTGTCAACCTCCCACCATCTTTCCTATCAAACATCTCCTTGTCTTCTTTCCTTCTGTTCTTTGTATGTTGCTCTCTAATGACACCTCTGATCGTCGCAAATAATAAGGCCTATTTATGAAATAATTGTATTGCAAATGCCGTACACGTACAACCTTGGCTAAAACTAAACTATAATAATAATAATAAATGGCATTTGTATAGCGCATAACCCCGCTCTACAGCAAGCTCTATGCGCTTAACACTATATTATTACCCCAGCAGACCATAGAACACTCCGAAACATTCTCAGCTTCCCAGGAAGCATACAGTGCAAGCAGCTGATTAAGCGCTCAAACACTAACAAACTGACAAGATCTTTCGCAGTCTATAGCCGGGTACCCATTCCCACCTGGATGAAGTGAGGAAAATTCGTGTAAAGTGCCTTTCCCAAGGACACAACGTCGGGCCCCTGACGGGATTCGAACCCACGGCCTTACGGTTGCGAGTCCGAGAGCCTAACCACTACGCCACCGACGCCAAAATATGACAGCACGGTTTCTCTTTCACCGGAGTGAGAGAGTGGGCGATATATCTTAGAGTGAGTGAGATACATATCAGAGTGAGAGAGATACATATCAGAGTGAGTGAGATACATAAATATCAATGGGTGAGAGCAATGTTTGACCGATGACAGGATCAGATCGTGGTGAGAACTCAGCGCGTTTACTTTCCCCAAACAGTGCACTCACATTTGAGCCCTCCACCTGAACATCAACAGCATTTTTAATTTTTTGTTTTATTTTGAGCATGAGCCGTGAAGAATTCCAGAATAAGTATAGACAGACATAGCGGTTAGTTTGATTTCAGTGCTTTGGGAGTCGTATATATATATATATATATATATATATATATATATATATATATATATATATATATATATATATATATATATATATATATACCAGCAAGATCTACATAGGCCTGACAGATCACTAGCAGTTGTTACGGATGAACCAGGTGACCCTGAGCCATGAGCCAACACCCAAAAACGAATGAGACTGTTCTCTCAACTTCTGTCTACTCTCTTATTTCCCTTTCCTCTAATCATCACCAAGTGCCAGATCTGCGACAGACATCGGCCATCATGGTTCTCCATTCATTCCTTTGCTCGAATGCTCTCAAAAAAGTTGTAAGATTGCTCTGGGTCTCCAAAATGAGGGGGATGGTGAGGGTCTAATGTGGGACCGAATATACCAAAAGGAACAAGTACATTGTAACTTGACGAGGCATACTATTCTATGTCTTATTACTGTTTGTCTTGCTTTATCCCAGCACCATACTATGTGTCGCCCCTGCAGGTGGGGGAGTAAAGAAAACACCTGTCGTGATACTGCGTGTCGTAAGAGGCGACTAAAGGTGCATAGGTCTGGCCACCTGAAAAGTGACAGTTTGCGGAGGGCCAACTACCCGACCCAGTTAAAAAGGAAAGTTATAGAAACACAAACAAACATGCCTTATAATTTTTCCATCTTGGGACACGGAGGAGCTTCTGCATCAGCAGGAACAATGAAGGACAGTGGACAACAGAAAAGAGGGAAGACGTGGAGTGACATCAAGCAACTAGCCCAGGATAGGGGAAGGTGGAGAGTGCTTGTTTGTGGCCTATATCCTGTCCCAGGGTGAGTAAGGCAATGATGATGATACTATGTGAACAGACAGAGGGCAAAAACAGAGAGACTTTATGTTCGATAGTTCAGGAAATATTTGACAATAAGTTGCGCCGTGGATTTTTTTACCTCACTCTTATGTGTGTAGTGTGTAGTTTGTAAGCTCGTTTTTATTACAACATCGTGCGAAATGGACACGGACGCATTGATGATTCATGTAGGTTTTTTTATGCCTTTATGACAAGGGTGATGAAAACTACAGCAACAGAAATTTTATAATGAAAGGTGGGTGGAAAAAAAAGTTGGCTTCCTTGTTTCTCGTCCGTTAGGTGATGGTACTCTCCACACATTGCGTCTTTGATTTTTTCTACGCACCCAATATCTATCGACATCGGCCTCGTTGTCGTTTACGCAACCATGATAATATTATCAACCATTGAAAAACACCTTCTTCGTCCATTGATCTTGATCTACTGACGAGTTTTAGTGACCGATAGACGCTTCCACTCCGTTCGTACCAAGCATTTCAAGAGCGTCACGTTATCAAATCTCGGGAAGCTGAGAATGTTCGGAGTGGTCTAATGTCTGCTGGGGTAATAATATAGTGTAAAACGCATAGAGCCTGCTGTTGAGCGGGGATATGCGCTATACAAATACTATTTATTATTATTATTATTATTATTATCAAATCATCAAAAAGATGCGCCAAAAAATCCAGAAAGGCGTGTCCGTCAACACTGTCTGTACCCTAATACAGGGTGGCCACTGGCACGATCGGGTCGGGTCGGT